ATACCTCACATACAGACATATTTGTTCAGAATTAGTTTTTTTTGCCTGTGATTCATATCTTTGTTGCTGTAGGCATTAAGGGACAAAAAAAGAAGCTATTTTATTCATTATATATTTTTAAATTAATCTGCCGATTAATCGGTTATCAGAATTTTTTTTTTTTTGCCAAATATCGGAATCGGACTCAAAAAATCTGTATCGGTCAGGCCCTAGTCAGAATTTCATGTTTTTAAAAAATAAATAAATAAATACAATCTGGGAAGAGCAAAAAGTACATTTTTGGTAAATTTTTAATTGAGACATGGAGTTAAGTGAAAAGGATAAAATATCAGGATTTGTAGATTTAGATGCTTTAATTATTTCTCCTGATACTGGAGGTCAAGTTGGATGACGAAGGAAGGATTCTTTCTGTTTATATGGTTTCTGGCTCCAATAAATGGTGTCATTTGGTCGATATTTTGGCAAGTTTGGTGATTCAGAAGGTTAAATCAAGAAATGAAGCATGTTTCTGTGGGGAAAATGAGCACCGACATAAGTAAGAAAGCATCTAAATACCCTTACTATTCTTTATATCTATATTGTCAGAATATTGTAATAAAAAAGTGAAAGTTCAGGGATACAGGAAATATTTTTGAAGAGGATTCCTGATGTGCAGTTTTTCAGTACCTGGATCAACCAGCTTGACGGCCATTTCCTCTAGGCTGCTAATCTCTTCCTCTTGCGGAGCATGAATCACCATGGTGGTGGAGCCCAGGATGCTGAGCAGGCAGCCGAGCTTCCCATGCAGGTTTAACCGCTCCGTCAGGAAGTACGACGACAGCACCGCACTGCAACAACATTTATAGTCAGCCAACTGCTCCACAAATCCAATTACAAACATAATATCAACTAAGACAAGGTGTAAGTGTCCAGTACATGCAGTGAGTCACGTGTACCTGACGAGCACGCTGAGGGCTCCCAGCGGAGTGACCAACGTTGCAGGAGCAAAGGCATATGCTGCAAAGTTGGCTGCTTCCCCAGCCCCCACTGTAAAAAAGGTCAGGACAAATGAAGTTAACTACCAAATGTTAAAGGGATAACTAAAGCATTTTCCTCACGTGGGATTCATGACTTTGCGGCTTCATCAAGCTGTTAAAGTGGCAGCGTTCTGTCTTTTAGACACAGATCACACAACATTAATAACATGTGAGATTGAAACTAAAATCCACGTTTATAATTTCCAAAACATGAAAAATTCTGTTTGTATGTAATAATCTAACTACTTTACCAACAGGACAATAAGAATATCTTGACAGCTTTGACAGAGCTCAGGACTCAACCTACTGCTAAGTAACAAATAATGTAACTGCAGCTTTAATCTATAACATTGTCTGCAAATTCACCTGTCTGAGATGAAGAAAAGTACACGGTGTGACTTGTCATTAGATGCTGATAGATTCTCTCCATGTTGTGTTAATCTATAGTTTAAGTTACTAACAAAATTACTGCTGTTGTTTCCTGTTTATAAATGTGTGCAACTGTCATTCTGATGTGGCTTGAAGGATTCCTGCAGCTGTCTGATGCTGCAGGTATTTAATAAACTCAGAGTAAAGACTCCTACAAACAGGAAGCTACAAACTAAACAATATAAACACGGCCTACGGGTATTATTATCGAGTCTCATTAACCTGACCTTTTTATTAACACACATTTTAGTTGGTCATAGATGTGTAAGCAAAGTGAATGAGAAAGATGTTTTGGTGTTTTTGGCAGCAAAGTGTGCTTTTTGCTCTGTTATCGTTGGATCAATATTGGCACTGAAATAAGGAAAAAGCCTTCAAATCAATTCACACAACTTGAAGTACATAGTCTTTGTGCTCCTATCTGTTAATGTGGCAGCATACAGTTCAGACTTGTACCGTGTTGGAAGTGATACGAAAACATTGATATGTCTGACTTAGTAAGACCGCCATCATGACCTGTATGGAAAAGTGACACAAGAAGCCGACACGTTCAGATGTCATCAGAATAACAGATAGGAGTGCACGTCTGAAAGGAGCTACCGCTGTAATGAAGGCAGACATATGCAAGTAAACACTGCAATACAGCCTGAGGTTTACTGTCTGTCGCAACAATAATAAGTACAAGGATACGTTCCCATGTACACACACATTTGGTTAGAAAACTGAGAAGACAGCTAGAGGTCTGAAGTGGGGATGTATTGCACAATAAAATACAGCAATATAGCAAATCCTGAAGAAACAACAATAACCCAGATGTATAAAAAACATGTTCTCAACCCACCTTGATAGAATTTAACTGGAGGATCCACATATAAATGCTAAATGTGCATGGAACTAATGACATTATTATGTGGAACTACAGTGTTAGAACTTACTTGATAATAAACCAGCCCACCACAGCCATTCTTTTAGATATGCATGACCACCCTGGCCTGAAAAGCAAACAAAACAAGAGTTTCATTACACGTAAATCTACTCATTTAAATAACACTTGCATGTAAGCAAAATCTGAATTACACAACCACCGTGATTTCAAGTCAGGTAGCTGCTTTGGATTTGAGCTGAAGGTCAAGTGAAACAGTGAAGTTAATGATTGCTAGGTACTAAGAGTGTGTCGATGACTCACACAAACACACTCACACACACACACACCCTACACAGGTGAGCACAACCAGACAAGCCTGAAACGTAGCAAAGGAGTACACAGGTATGTTAATGGGTTGGCTGTACTGGTTTGACTGTGCAGCTGGTTTTCATAGTTGCACAACTACAGCAGGGAGTGCCAGAAGTCAGCTGGTAACGTTGAACATGGTGTCCCTTTCAGTTAGCTACTATTAGGGCTGCATCGAAGAAACATTTTTTCCCCTAGATTAATCAACTATTTGTTGGGTCTACTAAATGCCAATCTTTCCCAAATGTCTTGTTTAGTCCACAACCCAAAGACGAGGACAGAACCCAGGCAATATTCAAATTTAAGAAAATCTGGCTGTCATGTGTATTAGATGCTAAGGAAAGATAATTACCTGCCCGCATCGATCCCTTCCTCGCCAGCCTCAGAAGTCCTTTCTTCTTGAGGATGAAACTGCCTCCGATGAAGATGCTGGAGCTGATGGCCAGTCCCAAACCGATGTAGAAATCATACTTCCCCCTGTCCTGACCCATAGTGAGGCTCGATGCGTTGATGTGGTCTGTCACATTTACGACCAAACAGTGCAGATGCTGACCTAAAGCACAGTCGAGGCCAGCCCAGACACCTGAGGTAACAACAAGACGCTCACAGGTAAGGCTGCAGCTAATGATTACTTTTTTGATTAACCGATTTGTTGTGTGGTCTATACTATGTCAGAAAGTAGTAAAACATGTCGATCATCGTATCCAAGCCCAAGATAATATCCTTAAATTGTCCACAACCCAAAGACATTCAGTTTACTATCTTAGAAGAGTAAAGAAACCAGAACATATTCACATTTAAGAAGCTGCAATACAAGAATTTTAACTTTTATTTCTTATTAAAACTACTCAAATCAATTAATTGATCATCAATATAGTTTGTGAATAATTTAGTAGTTGACAACTACTTGAATAATCAATGCTGCTGCTGTGAAAAAGCCACAAAGTGCGATGTTATCCTCTTGACAGCAGGGACCTACCGTTTCCACAAGAGACACTACAGTTCATTATTTCACGAGTGGGAAAAATCCATCAGAGAAACAGCATATTTAGGAATAACTACCGTCTGGTCCCACTCAAACACACAGCAGTGACTGCTGAACAGCAAACCGGTTGTCTGAGTTTTGTAAATACATGCATGCAAACCTTGTGCAACCTGCTATGTAAATAAACTTATATCAAGCCTCAGGAATTCAGGAAGTGGCACGCCAATCAGGTTAACCTGGGCAGGCTAGGTGCAGCTTGAGCTAGCCTGAAGTCGCCCTTTAGCGGGGTTGGTTTGGTCATTAACCGCCTATTATCAGTGCGTACACTATTCTTAACACTACTTGGACAGTAGAACTGGTGGTGGCTCCGTTGTGTTACACTTCTTCTGAAGTATTCAATCGCTAGTAGTGGTTGTATTCCTCGCTAGCCGCGTTAGCTTACGTTAGCACGACGGCTAGCTGCTTAGCTAGCGAAGTCAGTTAGCATTAAGGAAGAATGCGAGAGTGACTTGGTTGCTGTGTTGGAGAAGTTAGTTCCATACCTGCTAAAAGGTGTCTGTTTCCCCCCCAACAAGAAGAAAGCGGCGGCGGCTGGAGGTTGGCTAACAGCTAGCCTGCTTCCTGGCTCCGCGGATAACCATCACATACTGCTCCGTCCACGCTCTGCCCGCACCGACACCGACCGCTTGACGACTGCCGCACTGCGAGGCTCTTCTTCTGCTGATAGAGGAGGAGATGTGACCGTTGAACTGTGAGCCCTCCGCAGGCTGACGTCCAGAACACAGATGATCCACCGCCTCAGCGGAAACCCGACACCCACGAGTATTTATTTACACTTAATTAATTAGAGAAATTAGCTTCTTTGTTGTAAAAACACAAGACGGGAATATAAAAATCATTCTTTAAAAAAAGGCAAAATAACATCAATCAATAAATCAGTCATTCTGAAATTATTTTTTATCTATGCGTCTAGTTATTTATAAATTTTAATCTACTTTAACAGTACAGTCTTTTAACACTGGAGTTTCTGCTATTGTCTTATTTTTTCTCCTTACAACATTTAATTATGACACCAGTTTATAGGCAGAAACACATCACTGATAAGTGAATTGGAATCACAGTGTTTGAAATTGAATTTATTAGGTTAAATTTGAATTCAGGTTTAAAAATGAGTTTCTATCAAATAAATTCAATTGTGATTCAAATTCAGTTTCAATCTAGCAATTGATTTTCAAATGATGTAATTCAGATTGTTTTTGAATACAATTATTTAGGTGGAATGATTCAAATTCAGTTTGAACTTCAGTGTAATACATTCTGTTTTAAATGATGTGATTCAAAACCATTTCAAATGCATTTATTCAAATTGAGAAGTTGAAATTCCAACTATTTGATTTACATTAGATTTAAGTAGATTACATTTACTTCAAAATGATGTAAATCTAAATATTTTTTCATACCATTATTCAGGTATCTTAAAATGTAATTCAAAGTCAGTGTTACTGCAAATATTCAAGCTGAGCAACTCAAATTTAGTTGCTAGTTTCATCTATTTCCACCCATAGCATTCTCTTAGTTCCACAGTCAAATCACTGAAAATCAAGTTTATTTAAACTGCACATTGTAAAACAACCTGAGTTGAGCAGCAAACATAAATTGAGCGTACATGATATAGGAACGGGCAACAGCAAACATATGTGCAAAAAAGGCAAGACACAATACAGGATAAAAATTATTTTGTTAAACAAAATAAAATTAATAAAAAAAAAATAGGATAAAACAATGTCACAATTGGATCAATTTCTAGTATATATATATATATATATATATATATATATATATATATACAGATTTATAACCAGAAGACAAAAACAGGAAGTGGTCACAGTACCAAAGGAATATGTTTGACATCAGATGGTTAAATTCCTCCATCAGACCAAACACTCAGTCAGTCTGTTGATATTCATCTTCTACACAACTCCTGCACTAAAGAGACTGCTTCTGAAATTACTCTGAATAATTCACAGGCACAATGAATAAGTCAAAGTGTAGGTGACTCCACACTGAGACAGTCTGGCAACTGGGAGAAAGGCACAACATTTAAGGTGCCTTTTAAAGCCTCAAGAGGAAAGTAAGCGTAATTATTTACAATGTTTGGGTAAATGGGTAAAAATTTAACGTCGGCAAATTACTACCGATGAGGTCCATGTTGTTGAGAGCTGCATTCGTGAATCGGAATGAAATTAACACAGGAATGATCATGTAAAATAAACAACAACACAAAATATTGTGCATTTAAATTTAAGATTTGTTATTGCAGGTAAGTTCAAGTTAAAGGAAAACTAGTTATACAGTTAAAGCTAATACTGTTTGTGCCAAAAGGCGAATTTGAATTATAGTGACTTTTTTTTTTAGACCAATAAGCTTCTTATGGTTGGAAATGACAAACAAGTGAAAAAAAGATGGTCAGACATTATGTTAAAGTGATGATTTTTTTCTATTTTTATGTTTGAAGTATCTGTCTTTAAATATCTGGACCAGAATTGCCCAGATTCATCAGGAAGGTCTTGGTGATGATTGTTGGACTCTTCTTGGCCTCTATACCATTCTTGTCAGCACGGGGGTCACTTCTGGCTTTCTACCGCACCCACTGAGATTTCACAGTGTGCAACGTCTTGTACTTTGTCATTGTGCTTTGCTCTGCGGCAACTTATACTTGAAAACACCTGGATATGACTTTATAGCCTTTAAACGTCTTGTGAGCAGCCACAATGTGCAAATCTCTGGCATTTATGGACCATAATAGCGCACTGGCTTTTTGACTAGCACATTACTAGGACTTTATGGAACTATATAGAGGTTACATTTTCTCAAAAATCTATGACAATTTCAAGGGGTATGAATCATTTTGGACTTGGCGATTTTAGTAAAAAAGTCAAAATATACATAGAAATAGTTGACATTTGTTATCAGCAGACAATATTAATGCCTTTTGTTACTTGTTTAGGTCATTTCCAACCTGTTGGTCAAATAAAAATTCATTATAAATCAAAATTTGGTATGAGTTTGAATAATTTTGGGCTTAGCTGCATGGCACAGAAGTCAAGTAAATATGACGGCATAATCAATCAGTCTGTCTTTTCCCGTCCCTCCTCCTTCTTCTTCCAAGTAATCAAAGCCTCATGGGAGATGCGGAGTATAGCCACCCCGACACACGCTGTTGAAAAGCCGCAAAGCAAGGTGATGCTGTCCACCACAGTTAGAGCCGTCCACTCCTTGAAGAGGAGAGCAGAGGCAAGCATCACGGCAGATGTGAATGTCACATAGTATATGGCTTCAAATAAGTTGGAGCTGAAACACTCCAAGGCCTTGTTGATGAAGAAGAACTGCGTGAGGATGCTGACAATCAGCGTCCCCAGCAGGACCAGAAAGAGAATCGTGGCTCGGCTGCTGCACGGATAATCACCAAACACCTCCGGTTGGACCAGGCCGAGTCCTTTGACGCTTGGAACTGTGAAAGTTCCCAAAAGGGAACATATTGCGACATAGACCATGACGTTTGATCTGCCGTGGACTGGAGCGATCCACACGATTAGAGCGATCAGCAGCAGCACCACCAAGAGGGCATAAGTTACAAACACTGCAAAATGAGAGAGTAAACTTTTAGTGATGCATTCATTTCTTATATTTAATATGTTGGAGCACAAATACCAGCGCAGAAAAAGGTGTTGACTTTAAATCAGACAATAGGTGGTACTGTAAATTAAAAGGCATATAAAAACACTTCTGGTCACCTGGGTCCAACAGCCTGTCCATCAGCTCCTTGCTTGGCATTTCTTCTGCCTTTGGTTCGTGCATAAAGGGCACATCAGATCCAGAGGAACCCAACTCACAGGTGGGTTTTGCCTTTGGTGCATGAATGATGAGCACAAGAGAGCCACAGAAACACAACAGACAGCCAAGCTTCCCCAGGATGTTCAAATGCTCTTTCAGGATCCAAGCAGCCAGCACAGCCCTGCATCACACACAACAGTCAGAGTCCCGAAAATATTGGAACAATTTTATCTCTCGTCTCTGCACTTTTGTACGTATGAGATTTTCAATGATGCAGCAACTAGTCCAGCAACAATTCATTAATTAATCGAATACGGGACAATTAATCAAATACTGGACAACTATTCAATCAGTCTATTAATCTGTGAAAATATTTTTGATAATGAATTCATCAGTTTGAGTCATTTTTTGAAGAAAAACAAAGCAGAAATTCTGTGATTCCAGCTCCTTAAATGTGAATATTTTCTACATTCTTTCCTCCCCTGTGACAGTCAAATGAATATGTTGTAGCCTAAACAGCTAATCAATCCATCAAGAAAATAACTGACAATAAAAATAATCATTACTTGCAGCCCTAGCAGCAACACAAGAAGGTTTAACCAATTCACAACAGTTTAATATCATGATACTAACATGTTTTATAAAGACTGACTTTATTTTGAAGAACTTAAGCATTTTTTTAAAAGAAAAAGACAGAGTCAATAATTAACCCTCTTCCCCGTGCCTCATCAGCACATGTACCTGAGATAAAGATAAAGCTCTTTGTTAGAGTAAAACTGAAAAACAGTAGTGACTATTTTTGGTAACTACAAAGTATAAACGTGCAATTCAAAACCAAAAGTCTGTAATTGACTGATGTTGACTGAGATGTAAGAATGCTGTTCTAATGTTATTTCTTTACTTTTATTTTGCATGTCATGACACAGAGGTGGAATATAAGGACGTATATAAACATACATCCATCCGTCTATCCATCTATTATCTATGCACTGCTTAATCCTCACGAGGGTTGCGGGGGCCTGGAACCTATCCCAGCTGACTTAGGGTGAAGGCAGGGGACACTCTGGACAGGTCGCCAGTCTATCACAGAGACTTAGAGACAGACAACCAAGCACACTCACATTCACACCTACGGACAATTTAGAATCACCAATTAACCTCAACATGTTTTTGGACTGTGTGGGAGGAAGCCAGAGAACTTGGAGAGAACTGCATGGGGGAGAACATGCAAACTCCAAGATCCAAAGATCCCGAGTGTCCTCACCAGGACGCGAATCGGCAGCCTTCTTGCTCCGAGGCAATGGTGCTAACCACCGATCCACCTTGCAGCCCTATAAACATACACTTCTGACTTGGTACACTTACCCAAACAAAACTCCAAGAGCTCCTAGAGGTGTAACTGTCACAGCAGGGGCCATGCTGTACGCCACTGCATTCCCGATTTGACCGATAATCACTTAAGAGATTAACAGACAGGTATGTGAGGACATTTAGTCAGAATCCGCATTATTGGCCAAGTACATGAATACATACAAGGAATCTGACTTTAGCTCTTGATGTACTTATGCAAAATAAAACACACATCATTTAGACAAGGGCAACAGGTTTTGGAAAGAAAATAAATATTAAACTACGGTGTACAATTACAGATATGTATAAAAGAGTATGTTTAAAGTGAAAAATGAGTTTTAGTGCAGAATTACAGTGAACCAAAGTTTGATGCCTTTAAGGTTATTAAACAATAAGTACAAAATTATTGACACCTCATGGCTTACAATGCGCAGCAAAAAGAATCATTTTTGGAGGATATCGCACAAAACTTTGGATCAACTTTCTAAATGAACCTCAGTCATAGATTTTAAGGGAGACACAGACATATCAGTATTTGTCCCTTCATCAAAAACACAAGAGAAGCTGAAGACTTTCACTTCCTCTTCCTGAAACAATGCCTCGGACAGGAGTGGGTCTTTTTTTCTTCCGGCATTTTTCTTTTACTCTCTCTATATAAATTGTAAACTCAAACAATCACTGAATCTATTGTGGAAAATGTAATTAGGTCCTTAAATGTTCCATTAGGTTTTGTATTGCCACCTTCGTGTGTGGCTTTACATACACAGAAACATTTCCACCACAAACTGATGCGGAAAATATGTACAAAAAATTCCCCACAATGCAGGAAATTAAGTCCTTCACACCCTGGGACCCCCACGTTATATGACCATTCAGTATTTACAATTTTACAATTTCATTTTGCAGATGCTTCTATCCAAAGCACATCTGAGAGTAGATACAACACAAGCAAGTCAGGATCTAGTCAGGAGGAAACATTCTGGACACGTGCCATCGAACAAGTTCAACTGTGATAGGGCATTGATGCCAACAGCTGGCAGTGTGGGAGGTAAAAATGAAATTGTAAATTTAAATAAATCCAGGAAATGAATCACACATTCAGAGTCGACAGGTGACGCTGTACTCACTGCACAGGGTTCCATTCCACCACACCACGTCCCTCAGATACGAGCCTCCTGTGGGAAATACAGTAAACATTTTACTGTATAAACTTAAACATAGCGTTAATACGGCATGTCCACCACTAACTGTGTCGGTGTTTTTCAACAAAGGGCTGCATTCATGAAGTGTTTGTCTGCCTACCTCTTTGCTGGGAACGTAACATTCCTTTTTTCTGGAGCACAAATGTCGACCCATTGATGAGACTTGATACTACAGCTATTAGTATCCCAATATTTGGAGACGAAACTCCAGAAACTTCAGCACAGTGAGCAGCCATAGCTGTGGATATGTGTGAGCTGAACTGCAGCACAGCTTCCTAGAAACAGTTTCCTGGAGCTGCAGCGCCACCCAGCGGACAGCTTCTTCACCCCGCCCCGCCCCTCCTTTGTCCCGCCTCTTATCTGTAAGTAGCGCACATTTTATGACACCGCTCAGTACGAGTGGGAGGAGTAGAAGGCTTAGCTAAAGGGCGTGTTGGAAGCACCGCCCCGACGGGCTGTGGTGGTGCTTATCTATCGCGTCCAATCTTGCACTACGTAATTTGTTTCCATGCCTCGTGCCCCAGTCCGCGATCTGTCAATCAACCTGTCCATTATAAATGCCTTGTTAATGCAGCAGAGCAGCTGAGGGGACGAGAATAGCTTGAGAAGACACCGCAGGTAATTTAGCAATTTATTGTCAAATTGAACGTGTTACATGCTGTGTTGCCGAACTCGCCGAAACGTTGCATCTCTTTCGGTTCGGTGTCATGTCACAGGAGCTCGTTCACCGCTGCCTGGAGGATGAGAGCTAGTTTAGCTTTTGGCTAGCCAGCGCTGAGTTAGTGTTAGCTGGTTAGCAAGCTAAGTAGTTAGCCTTAGTTAGCCGCAAAGCTAATGTGAATGTTACTCAGCATTAGGTATTGCGTTAATGATGCTATGTCAGTGTGTGTTTTTACTCTCTGCAGTAGTGTATGTTATCATATTTTGGCGAAGCTCTAACCTCAGTTTTAAGGCTAACGGTGCCTTTGCTAGCAGTCAGTGCTACGATATTCACATTTTTTCCCCAACGTTTCATGTAACGTTCTAACTACAAGTCTTTGGCCTAAGTCATAATGTTAGTCGCATAAATTACGGTAATTGAAGGCACGTCTTACATATGATCACAGTGGTTGTTGGTTAAGTTCACTAAAACCGTATATGTAATTGACACGGTTGACCCAGCTAAGGGTAAAGCACTTGTCAAGTTATCTCAAACATCCCTGTTGAACAGTCATGAGGAAAACAACACATTTAGTTGGAAATGCTAAAGTTAATCTTGTTGCTGTCTAATGGATACGATATGATACTTAGCATACTGTCATGAAGGAGTACAGAAAATAATTACAGTTAAGTAGCTGGAATCGGATAATTTAGACTTTCTTATTTTTGAAGTTATTAAAAATGTGTTTAAAAATGACAAAAGTAGTTGGTGATTAATTTAATAGTTGAAAACTATTTCATCAGTTGATTAATTGTTGCAAGTCCACTGGGTACGAACCTGGAAAGGAGCATGCTCAAAAGCAGTCTTCATATTGTCATTACCGTGACCTTGTAAATTGGTCTTATACTAAAATACAGCATTTTTTGTGTCTTGCAGGTTGGCTGCGCTAGCAGCCCGGAGAGGAGAGGGGAAGATGCCTTCTCCATCTTTTACCCTCGATGCTCAGCTGAGATTTCATGACAAATGGCTGAAGATAGACTTGCAGGTATGTATACCTACACAGAGGGCACAATTATATTAAAATGCTGCTTTTTTAGATTAAGAGGAGTGGCTGATATTTTGTGGAGTTACTCACATGAAACGTTGAGAAGTGAAAATATCAAAAATTTGGCAACATTTTTCATCTTTGCCTCAGTTGTCAGGTTACATTTTCCTGTCTGAGCATAGAAAATGTTTAATGTTATGGTTGCTATCTGAGTCACCTGGCTGACGGTGTCTGATATATAATGACCTTAAATACCCAATGACTTAAAAGCATCACTACCAGTACGTCAAGTGCATCAAGATGATGTACATCAAAAGCTCCTGGATTACTGAATAAATTCCTGTCCACCTACTGCAGCACTCTTAGCAGTTTTTTTTTCTACGTAAACATGACACATTGCTTAGTTTATTTCAAAAATGTGATGTGTCACCGATGACAAATGCCAGTCTTCTTTTTTGTGCTTTGATTTAAAAAAAACAACAAAAAAAAAAAATAGCATGCATGTTACATGAGCCACATTTGTCATCCTGTCCAAACTACTTACCAAACACATGCCAATTTTTGCATTTCCAACCTGTTCTCAGTCAAAAACAGAATTGTATACACCTGACAAACCTGATCACATAAGACATATCTGCACCTGCTGGCTGGTAGGCTGCATGTGGGTATGATTATTGTTTTTCCCGTAATGTGAAAAAAAAAAGTGCAGGCTATAATAATACGGCCGGTCAGTGGACTAGTTATTTCTTGAAAAGGTTTGTGTTGTGAAAAACAGTCGTGTTGGTAGTAATTATAAGGTCTTCTACTAATACATGATGAATCTAGAGAAGACTGGGAGACATTCTCATACTAAGAAAACAGACTGAAGTGAGCTGTCTGCTCTCGCCTCCACAAATTGCAGCCTGTCTCGACTCAGTCTAGCCTTGAAAATTAGTTTGCAGCATCAAATGAGGACTTACATTGGAGAAGGGTGTCATGTTTTTCCATCGTTACAGCTGTCTCCAGTACTGGAGGATGCACAGCTTTAGTGTAGTGCATCTGGTTAGAGTCATGTGTGAGCTAACATGTTTTTGACATTTAAGATCTCAGATCCTTGAAAGCAAGTGTTGGATTTCAACTGGTGAGAATTTCTTAGTAGAGCAAAGCCATGCATGAAGGGTGTACCACTAAGTGGATGACACACACATTTTTTCCTGCAGATTTTTTCTCGAATCAGTTGAAACTCAGAGATAAAACAGCTATTTTTATACTCTTGAGTTATGAAGACTGCGCAAGAGATTTTCATCCATGTATCAAACTGATGAAAGAATTTGCGTTTGCTTCAAATGTTTGATCATTTAAAGAGGAATGAACTGCAGGCAAATATCGCACAATGAGTTGATTATTTAACGGTATCATAACTGGTTACATTGGATCTGTTTTAGCCACTGTATTGGAAAGCCCCCATAATGTGATAGAAACATTAAAATGGTCAGTGTTCATGTGATAGAGTAGATTTTTTATAACTTTACTCTGTGATGATTATTGTTTTTTTCACTGCTGTCTACTTTTTTAAGCGGGCATTCTCTCCAGAGGGACTAAGTGAGATGTGGAATGAAATGGTGAAAGATGAGGAAATATCATTCAACGGAGAAGAATCAGCTCACCCAGGTATGTTTCTGTGACATTGAGCACTCGTTTGCCCCCCCGGTGCTTCTGACAGATTTACACATAGCTGCCATCTGGTCATGATAACCCGCAACATTTTTGCACACTGTCTAAGGATGATACTTGAGACGGGCACAGGGGTGGTGTGTTTAACCTTGCTGCAGAGAATGAAGGTTAATGTCATAATTTCTTTTGGCTCTTGTAGAAGATTGCACTGATTGTTTTGGAACCCAGAAGAAGGATGAGCCCAATGACAAAGAGAAGAAAGAGGAGGAGGAGACGTCCACATCCGTACATCACTCCATCATTGAGACCTGGGACTGGGGGCGGCAGCCAGGTGAGAGCGGTTAAAGTTATGATTTAGGGTGCTGCAGTATATCCCGCTGCTGCCTGCTACCATGCTGCCTTGTCCTCCTGCTGTGACTCTTGTCATTTTGCACCTTTCTGTTTCCAAGTAGGGTAATTAATACCATGCTGACACGTGATGGTTTCACAACACTTAAATGTCGACTAGATACAATTATACAGCCCATTTCGACACATGTCCGGCCTCTCTGTTTATCGCTTTCACGTCTGTCGGGCCCTGCTGGTGTGTGCATGTTGTGCTGGCACGTGAGGTGTGGAAACTCTGAAATGACAACTTGCAGTCTGCAGGTCTGAGCGGCTATTTTTACCACGCAGAGTGTAATCTTGGTAGGCATTACAATGTGGTTCAGACCAGGGTAGCGTCCCTGACCCATGTTGTGTTTACTGGTGGGACTGGGTGGGGACAGTGTCATGGTGGTGGGAGATAAGCGTTGGTCGGGGGGGATGGGACCCAGTCGACATGCCCAGTGAATGCAGGTTTTGCTTGTAGCTACTAGGCTGCTTGTCTCTTTAATATTGACCGAGTCAGGAAATCGCACGGGTCTGATTGTACAGTGAGTGCACCCGGACGGCTACGTGGACGAGTGCTCTGTCGTTGATGCTTGAAGTTCAAACTCCACACTTCCTGCTTTTCCTTTGTGAGTTCAGATATCTGGAACATATTGGTCTCAGCAGCTACAACTCAGACTATTGTGTGAAAATCAACGCATCAAATGACAGATTTGCTCTGATTAGAGGAGGTGAAAGGTTTTTTGTTTTTTCTCTTTACCACCAGAGATATTTTGTCATCAGAACTCATTTGATTTTGATGTGTCTTTAGCACAAGATGCTTTTCATCCATGACGAATATAAAATAAATAGTAAGAGTGTGACTGGGATCCATATCTGTTCTGACAGCCGAGCACAGCTGACTGTAGTGCGGCTCATACAACCTCAGGCCAGTCTGGCTTATATAAAGCTTAAGTGGATTTCAGACCTTCTATTTTGGCCCATCCTGGCTTCCCTGCAGTGCTGCTGTATAGACACACAATACAGCTTTTTATCTTGAACCAGATCTAAACAAAAGACCTGTTGTAATAAAAGTCAATGGGGGAAATTTTGAATGGGGGAAATTTTTTATTTAAAGAAAAACAGTCAAGCCTGCAAGTTATATGCTTAACTGTCACAGCACCTTTCCTTGAAACACTAAGCTGTGAGTTAAATGATTAATTTAACATGAAGGTGGTTTTTTTTTGTTTGTTTTTTTTTTGATCATGCTAAACCTGATATACCTATAATGCATTGTAAATCCCTGTTGTCATATAAACTTTATAGTTAAAAAGTCAAATTTTAATACCAGATAACATCTTAAATTATTAATATGCAGCTGTATGTTTTCAGAATGACAAAAATGGTTTCACTGTTTAATGTTTTTGTTTGTCCTGTATCTTCCACTTTGTGTCATAAATTGTTAATTGTGTTGAAGTGCTTCACAAATCCAGATGCAAGTTTTTATGGGGTGTATGAAATATTTTTTTCTACCATGAAGGACATGGTTTCATTCAAGTCACACAAAGTAGCTTGGGGGGTTTT